ACCATACATGGTGTTTATACCAAATAGTGCACCCACTTTAATAACAGGAGGCCTAGAACTAGAAGCTCCCTCTGAAAGTAACCCATCACCACCACCAAGAACAATGAAACTCAATAGAATTGTAACCCAATTCATTGCTTGGCCTAGTCAGTTCTTGAAACACCTAATCCTGATCAACAAAATGAGACCTTGAGGTAAAATCCAAACCAGTTTTCACAAGCAGAGAAGCCAAAGCAAGTAACTTTGAGTTTCACCAGTGAGAAATGGAACTGAAAAAAGTGTCACGGGGACTAAAACCCTTCACCACAAAAGACGGTACAAGTAAGTCAGAGGTAGAGATTATGCCAAACCCCAAAACCAAATCATACTTTAAGGGAAAGAAAGACAAAAAAAGAGGAAGATTCGTTAGGAGATGAAGAATTAATGGCTAAAAAGAGATACTCGAAGACAAGGAACAAGCAAAGCCAGGGAAAAGAAGTAGAAAGCAAGAGACTGTTCAATCAATAACAAAAAAGCAGAATATAGAATAATGGAAGATTTAAGAAAGGAACAAACTTTGATTACCGTACTTACAAAGAGAATCCATGGAGGAGGAAACGAAGATCCCCATTAGGCCATTACGATTTTTTTAAAGAATTTGTCAAACACTGAAACATGTTAAGATTTTTTAAAATATAAAACCAACGATTGCTAAACTCAAACGTTGCTAATCCGATTCATGCATAGTCCAGACAAAAAGAAAACAAAACGTCTTGATCTACTCACAAGATTCAAACTAAGTAAATTCCCACACAAAACAGAAACACATATACATAGAAATAGTAAGACTTGAAAATAAGGCTATAAATCTTTCTATGTGAGTTTGATTCTCACTTAGAACACTTTATTATATATAAAGCATTCAAGCCAAAAACTCAAGTGACCAAGTGATAAGAAAATCTCTCTTCTTTTCCCATCTCATTCCTTGTAAGAATTCAACGAGTTTCTATGAGGCACAAAAAAAAACTTGAAATCAAATATGGCAAACGCCCACGACACATTCAGCTTCAAAAACCAAACTATATCTGACCAAATTTAAAAACTTATTACAATTATTGTTTGGTGAGTAGATATACCTTGAAACAGGTGGGCAGTAATGGTGACGCAAAGTGTCGATCTCCCAAAGGGAACTTTCTGTAACAATGAAATCCAAGCTTTAATGATTTACATGCCAGGAGAAATTGATTCACGGATTCAGTATATTAGCAAATTTGCAACTGAAAACTCACACTGCTGTCTTGTTCCATCCGCTTAGCGAATCTAGTTGAATTGAAAGCTATCTTAGCTGAAATAGATGCTAGCATCTGGAAACACCAATAACCTTTATTACCAAATCTAAACACAGATGAAATTGGAAAACAAATAGCCAAGTGCTCAAAAATAGTCACCTGAACAACTCCACATCTCGTGGTGGAATTCGAGCCAAAACTTCATAGATCTTGTGAACAGAGAGTTCTAGGCTACAATTCACAACAACGCAACAACAAGAAGAAAAAAAAGCATTAAAATTACATTCAAGCAGTCTGGAAGAACAAAGATCAGATATACAATGAAAGCATCAAAATATATATTGATGCTTACCTTTCTTTCGAATCACTCTTAACCTCACTCGTTTCTGGCCAGAACCACATCGGTTAAACACGTAAAAATAAAAGAAACTAACATTATGCATCAAGAAGAGGAAAATAAATAAAAAGAGATGATGCCAAGAAAGAAAGCACAAATAAGCGCACCAGACATGACTGATGTTTCCAGTGTTTTCACAAACTTCTCCATGCTGATGTAGGTAAAATAGCTGGCATAAATCGATATTCAGAGTCAATCCCATATGACCAGAAGAAAGAAGATGGTGAATACAAATAATAAAGAAAGGGCTATCAACCTACCGGACATCAATATACTTGAAGTACTTTGAGGCAAGTATATCCAAGAATATATCGATATCAACTGCAGAGTGAATCTGCAGAGACAGAGATAGTATTCGGATTCATAGAAACATCGCTCCTTTTGCGCTTCAACCTTCGCTTTGATTCTTCTTCCTTTTCATCAATATATGCTAGAAAAGATTGCAGCTTTTTCAGACGTGAACTTTGTAGTGAAGGTATAGCTTCTTCTTCTTCTGGCTTGTGTTTGCAGAAATCGCGGACTATCTTGAAGAAGTGGATAAAGAGAGCGACAAGACAAGCGATACCACAGACTAGGAACATGCCCCAGAAGCTATGCACATTGAGCTGTTCTGAGTCACCTGACTGAGCCCCGTGCGGTTGGCTGCAATTAGATTTTGACAGCCATCTGTCATGGATCTTCTGAAGCTCGCCAGTTTCGGATAGACCGAGAATCGCAGTTGACATGTCAACTGCTAAAGGAGAATCTCTTGGGAATGCCTTTTTCAGATCAGAAAACGCAAAAAAAAATGATCAGATTATGTTCACTAAGATGTATGTAAAAAGAGAGAACAAACTTTGGAAGATGACTCACAAATCCCCAACCGCATCTGGTGAATTCTTGGCCTCTGATGGCAAACTTACAGTAATTTGAAAGGAAGAGATCAACATAAGGACGTTCATCGACGATTGCAGCNACAGTCCCGTTTTGAAGCGCAATAGCGTATTCTTGAGGAGAACCGAGTGGNACAAGTCTGGATCTGGCAATGTTAAGCTCATCAATCATGTAGTTTTCAGCAAAAGAACCAACCTGGAAGCCAATGCGACCAGTGCTGCTGATGAGTGTATCTACTCCTTTTATAGGTGAATTCAGCTGTTGCACTGTAAGCATCGATGTGAGACTCGCAGTGTAGCTAGAAGTAAGGATCAGAACCACAAAAAGCCATATGAGAAGCACCATACGGCCAAGCGTGCTCACAGTTTTCTCTCCTGAGGGTTTGATTTCATATAAAGATGTTACAACAACTTCAGACAAGAATTGCAGTTACTACTAGCTTGAAGGGTTTTTGAGACTTACTGTGAGAGAAAAACATCGTCGAGAAACTGAACCTGCATTGTAATAAAAGATTAGAGCTTGCAGTAGCTACGGTGTTTGATCTCCAATATATGCAGACGAATAAGATAATTTTGTGTACTAACCAGAGAATAGTAACGATTTGTCTCCTTGGCGGACCCNGAAAATCTTCGTTTATTCGGTGTTCAAGAATCCATATTACAGCTCCAACAACAATGAAAAAAGCTGCTGTTACCGCCCACATAGGAGGAGTAAAAGGGCGTAAGAAGGCCCAAGGATTTTCATTTGGGTTTGAGACCGGAGCAACCACGACAAGGCCTGACTCAATGTATGGCTGAGTAAAATCCACAATTCTTGTTCGTTTTGTGACAATGGCTACATCTCCTACAACAGCATCAAACTCGACCCCAGTGGAGACCTTGTTGACGAGCTCATTGTAGTTTGGATTCTTGAGACCATCTCCGAAAAAGAAGAAGTCATGAGGAACCGGATATGAAAGCAGTTTCACTGCAGCTTCAAACACATCAATGCAATATCCTTGCACTTTGTTGCTACTTCCATTGACTCTTGAGANAAAGTCCTTGAAGCTTGCTCTATCAGGAACACCGATCCTCAACCGCTTCCCGTTGTTAGGAAAAACCCATCCACGAGGTGTTACCAAAGTCCCACCAGGCCAAGTTACAGATTTCAGATGTTGGTTTGAGCTAGAACGGTTAGAAGGTTTGCTGTAAAATGTTTCAGGAGGCACAATAGAAAGACCAGAATGGTTAGACCAGTAACCTATTTGGCGAAGCCCATCATCAACCACATTGATGATATCATATGAAGGTTGTATCATTGATCTGTCGGGATGAAATTGAACCGGACCTGTTAGCCCAGACATCTTTGTATGTACAATGTTATCAAGGAGCTGTGGTCCTTCATTAAAACTGCTCAACGCACTTAGATTCAATGCCTCCCCTTTCAAGCTGCTTAACTTTGCATCATGAGAGAAAGAAAGATTGCCTCTAACTTCCAGAAGTGTCTTAACGGCTCGAGCAATGATCCAGACAGTATCATAAGCATACAAGCCATAGACGTTCAACCCGATAGTCTTATTACTCAACTTGTTTTTCCANCGTGCAGCAAAGTCCCTTTTCTTTCTTGAATCTGGCGTGTGAAGACGCAGAGCTAGGACTCCATTTAGAGTTTTGGAATCCAGAGGCAAACCTGAGTCTAGTAGAGAAGACAACCAANGTGTAGCTATCCAAACATAGCCTTTCTCCATCATCCCTAATCTCTCTGCTTCCTCAAAGATCATTTTACCTGTATTCGGGAAAGTGTTCACAACGATTATCCGAGATTCCATCCTCCGGATTTTAGTCAACTCCTCTATGATCTCAACTGGACTAGAAATCACAACATCCAGCGGAAGTACCGCCTTGTAAGTAATCCTGCAACGCCTCTCTNCAAGCTCATCGCCTAACGCTGTAACACCGTTTCTGCTGTTATCATCATCGTTATATAATGCCACTACATCTGTCCAGCCATAGTATGTAATCATCTCTGCAATGGCACGCATCANAAACAGATCGCTAGGTGCTGTTTGGACAAAGAAGGGGAACTGGAGTGGAGANAGNGNAGGGTCAAGAGCCGTGAATGACAACATCGGAACAGTAAGCTCNTTCGCAAGATGAGACAAAACATGAGCCATTATTGATGTCTGCGGACCAATTATAGCCACGACATCAGTCTCCATGAATTGCAATGCTACAACAAGAACAAAAAGATGCAAGTGTAAGTAAGTTTTCCAAAAGCAATCAAGAAAATGAAAACAAAGATTGGATTTTGTTCTTCTTTTCAACCTCCCATGATGCTAAGGAAGCCACTGCGTTTAGCNTCATTCATCATAATACGCAATTTCGATCCACCGAGGAAGCTAGGATCGGAATTTACATCNTCCTCAGCAGCTTTNAAAGCAATATTTGCAGTATGACCATACATGGTGTTTATACCAAATAGTGCACCCACTTTAATAACAGGAGGCCTAGAACTAGAAGCTCCCTCTGAAAGTAACCCATCACCACCACAAAGAACAATGAAACTCAATAGAACTGCAACCCAATTCATTGCTTAGCCTAGTCACCTAATCCTGATCAACAAAATGAGACCAATTTTGACAGGCAGAGAAGCTAAAGGAAGTAACTTTGAGTTTTCACCAGTGAGAAATGGAACTGAAAAAAAGTGTAACGGGGACTAAAACCCTTTACCACAAAAAGACGGTTAGAGACAGAGATTATGCGAAACCCCAAAACCAAATCATACTTTAAGAGAGAGATTTGTGAGGAGTTGAAGAATTAATGGCTACAAAGAGATACTTTG